TGCAACATTTTAATAATTATTAAGTAGAGTTTGAAATAACAAAAACTAAATTTTGCTGCAACACAACAACTCTAGGCCTCATACCTCATGAGCCACCCAAGAGGCAATTATGTGAAGTTGGATCTCATTGTCTTACCCCATCCATCATACAGTTCACATTTGGCATCATTTGACTTCTACCTTCTCCCAACATTGAGGGAATATCTTCATAGGCATTTGTTTCACCCAAATGAGGAGGTAAAAAAAACTGTCAGGACCTGGTTGAAGAGACAAAGTGCGGAGTTTTCCTGTTTCATTTATTAAAATATACCTATTTAAACTAACATTACGGAGATGGAAGCATTACTTTTCATTCAACCCTCACAGCAATTTCATAAAAAATAAATGTCACAAAGTAGTGTGAAAACAGTTGTCTATCTAGAAGACAAAAAGGAATCTGAGTGCTACTTTGCAACATTTTAATAATTATTAAGTAGAGTTGGAAATATGACCAGGGTTCATGTGAAACACTTCCAGACAACTTGCTATGTTTCTGTTAACTTTCTATAAACCACTGTTCAAATTGTGATCAAGGCAATTTTATAAACTAATTTATGAATTATACCAGTAAAACCATACCTCAGTATAATAATTATAATGTCAATAATGCCATCTTTTTCTTTAAGACACAGCCACAGGATGAAGGAGAAAATTGAGCTGGGAAAGAAAGCATTAAATCTCCTCCTCCCAAATGAAAGAGAGAAGATAAAAATTCCTAGATGTGTGTAAAGAAGGAGGAAAAGAAGTAGCTGATGACTAAATCTTTAACATCTTGGTGTTTTTATGAACATGGTACCTATTCATGATATTGGGGGTGTTTTGGTTCCAATACTTATTTTGACTGACTCTAGCAAATCTCTTTGATCCATTATTTCATGAAATATATTTTTCTGAAATAGTTTTGTGTTCATATCAGTTTGCAGAACTGAAAGTTGAAATGCATTTATCTTTAGTATGTCAAATCTCCATCAGCTTAATTGAGGTTCATATAAAACACAGTGTAACACTTAAATATAAAATAAATCAGTTGGTTAGTTACAAGCATCCAAGTTTTTCAGCATCAATCTAATGAGTATGCATTACTCAAATAGTGTGCATGAAGGACTAGTGTTTTCCTACACACACACACACACACACACACACACAAAAGTCATTACCAAAAACTCCCGCCCAAAAACAAAAAAAGTATTTCAAACAGCCCAGCCTCATAAAAAGGAAATAAATCCTCGATAGTAATTCTGTAACATGCTTATAAATTCCTTCCAATTCCCATTTAAACTGTAAAGAATTTCCTTCAAATAGTAAGGTATAAGGAGAGCATAAGTAGCTTTTCCAGGTGTCAATAAGAGAAAGAAAGAATGTTATGACTTTATAATGTAAGCTAAGGTATTGACCATAGTTTACAAATCACAAAAGGCTGCGTTCAGATCAGATCATGCTCAGGCAAAACCCAAACTCCACTGTGTGAACCTATCCATAGGGTATATTTTCCCTTATTATGCCTTCTTTCCAAAAGCAATTACCTTATGAATGCTAGCAGTGCTGGATTCATACAAACATGAATAAAAAAACCAGTCATTTTAAACAAAGTCTATTGGCTGCTTTGTTTAGACAAAACCAAATAAAACTGTATTAGTGATTTATAAGCTGATGAACCTAGCCACTACCTAGTTTCAAGAGCTATATGAACATCAGAGGAGCACTTTCTTTTGATGGAAGATGTTTGTGAATCACTCATTAAAGGAAATCTGTAAATCCTTTCCCTTTCTCAGCAGCAAATAATAAGACAGGAACAGATTTGTCTTCCTCATTACGTCATATGGCACACCACGTATTTTCTCCAACTTGTAAAGCTCAAAAGAGAACATGCTACCTCTCACACAAGAAGTAAAGTACTAAGACATAGTATGTTCATCACATGTCCCTACTAGATAGAGAGAAATAAGCTTTCATAAACATTTTCAAGTACACAGTAATAAGCTATTTACTCATTTTTCTGCTGGCATAATAAGATTGCCAACTGGAGTGGTGCAGTGGCCTAGAGATGGAGCTCTTGCCTCTCAATCAGGAGGCTGTGAGTTCAATCCTAGGTAGAGGCAACTATTTCTCTCTCTGGCCACAATGAGAATATATCTGCTGAACAAAACTCTGCATCGGCAACAGGAAGGGCATCTGGCCAGTAAACACTGCTACCTCCATTCAGTTGCCCAGACTCCACCCCACAAGGGATGATGGCGTTGTTAAAAGAAGTGATAATACGATTGCTAACTATTGCAATCCCTATTGATCTCTAGAACTATTAAATAATACAATTTTCCTAGGCTATATCTGAAATCTACAGATATTCAGCTGTTCGCAATTAGGAAAGGTTGAAAGTTTATGATTTTGTATTAAAGGCAAAACTGTTCAATTTCTTTTTATTCTTTCCAATCCAAGAGAATATTGATATAAATTATATAAAGTAAGAGTTCTTAACCTGGGGTCCATAGATTGATTTCATAGAGCTAGAAACCTGAATTTTTATTCCTGAACAGAAATAAAAATAAAAAATTGATATTCACTAGCCTTTAATTGAAACAGAGCTTTCATTCAGTGATGAATGTTGGCAAGAAAGTATTTTATGATCCCTAGACTCCAAAAAATTTTAACTTCAATAAATGTCACTTACATTATCTAAAATCATTACCTCCTTAAAAAGCAAAAACAGTTATACTTGCTTATATAAAGTAACATTTCTTTCCAAAGCATGAAACTGATTATCATCAATACAATTTACATTTCCAAGACTTCTTTGTATCCATATAAGCCATTAATCCTATAATTCTAGAAATCTAGAATCCATTATATTTGTCCCTCTTTATATTATAACTCCTCTTTGCTGAGTTCACAGATCATGTTCAGGCAAAACCCAAACTCCATTATGTGTGAACCTGTCCATAGGTTCGTAACAAGGTATATGAAGCCTGTTTTATGCTTTCCAATGCATGCATATACACAAAAATATATAGACATAACATAATGGAATAATAAATGCCATATAGAGGCAATGCATTTGCAACTACTCTGAGTAGTAGAGAAAGAAAGTACTCTCTACTACTTCATTTCACAAAAGAAAATTCAGACATCTTCTTTGCCACCCTTGGTAAAAGGCTTGGAAAGAATTCAAGAAGCCTTTCTCTGCATTGTTTTTCAACTTTGTTTTAATATATCCTTTCTCTCAGCAAGGTATTTCTTTTTGTTACAAATACAGAAAAGAAAGAAAAGCATGAAATGATAGGATTGAAACTTGACAAAAACAAGGTACATGAATAAATATACACTCTAAATTAATTTAAATCTCCAGAATTGTATAAATTGCATCTCTATGGCTTTGATGGAATAGTTAAAATTTTATGTATTGTATCAGGTGTTATTTGTTTTAAATAGCACTATTTGATTAGTATTATTTGAAAACTTACATTTCAGAAAACTGGAGAAATGCCAGAAGACTGGAGGAAGGGAAATATTGTTTCTAAGATCAAAAAGGATGATCAAGGAAGCAATAAAGTAATTAATATTCCAGAAGATCATAAAAATATAAGCATTTTTAAAGATTTGTAATAACCCAGCATGCTCAAGAGCAAACCCTACTGAACTAATTTTATTTTTAATAGAGTAACTTTTCAGATCATAATATGGAATTCAGTAGCATGATTTCAGTAAAATTTCTGACAAAGAAATTGTCAGAATTTCTGAATAACAAGTCAGCTAAGATTGGCTGGATGTTATTACAATTAAATGGCAATATTTAAATGGCATCCAAACAGGACAACTACAGACTTCAACAGATAGTCAGAACTGCAGAAAAAACTATTGCAACCAGTTTGACTTCCACTGAGGACCTATACATTTCACGAAACAGGGCTGAGAAAATATCTACACATCCCTCACATCCTGGACATAAACTATTTCAACTTCTCCCCTTGGACACTGCTATAGGACATTTCATGCCAAAACAATTAGACACATAGTTTTCCATCACTCTATTGAACTCCTAATTTCCACAGCACTGTCTTAGGCCTAAGAGATTATCCATGTAGTAGTTTGTATTGCTATTAACCTTCTCATCTCCTCATATTTCTTAACTTCTCATCTTTCTCATCTTTCCCATTATCTTCTTCTATTAGTATCTATGATTATCACTTGTGGTATCTGTTAGGTATAACATTGATACCAAATATGGTTTGGGTGAATAAATAT